ATCAGGATTTTTCCTCAAATAGATCCGACCACCCCTTACCCATAGATAGGTGAACCCTTTGTCCTTCTTTGCTTGTCGTGCCGCTTTTAACAGTTTCCGTTTCTCCGTAGTTAGGCTATCATTTACATAGATGACTGTAGCGTCTCCTCCCATGAAACCAATGTCTCTAGAATTAAGATTTCTCTTCTTTCGACGACACTTCATGAAGCGATCCTTATCTAATCTTCGTATAAATTGTACTATTATCCCTGGGGCAAACTCACTTGTCTGAGACTGTCCGTAACGATAACAGTTACTTATCATTTCATTGTTGAAGTCAAACGATATTTGCGTGGAAATATTCTTTAAGATATCTAAAATATTTTCTTCGTCTTCAATTGGGACTCATTGTATTTCAATCTCATTATCATTCACTGATTATTCTAGATAGTTTATTCGATGTGTCAATGCATCATTCTTCTTCTTCAAGTCACAATTTTCTTGTTTTATCTGCTCAAGTTCTTTTGTCAAAGCTGTAATCTTACCATCCACCTTATCAATATTTTCATTGGTTTCCTTTAGCCAATCTGAATATTTACCAAGCGTATCCTTTATGTCTTTATTTTGGGTCATTATTTCCTGTCTGAAACTGCGCATTTCTGCAAGCAAAGCTACAAGGGACACGTTTTCTTGAGTCAATTAAGCTGCAGCACCATCAATTTCTTGATTCCTTGATTCCTGGGAACAAACATAGCGGAACAAACATAGCCTGGGTATAGAGAAACTATCAAAAATTATCTTCAATTTTTCAATTATGAATTTTGTCTTACAATCCTTCAAAGGATATAACCACACAAAGCGGGTAAACGTATCGACCACAATTAAAATGTACTAATTCAGTTCATTTGATCGGGGAAATGGTCCAGCTAGATCAATAAACACATTGTTCAGAGCTTGAGTTACGGGAACAGATATTAATCGACCTTCAAACTTACGTTGTTCCGACTCAGACATCAGACAGATCTTACATTCACGGACTTTACTTTTTATGAATTCATTTAATTCAGGATGGTGAAAACATTCATTTACTTTACTTTGTGTCCTAAAATTCCCATATGTCCTCCAATTAATGAGTTGTGATAAAATGCAAATATTACACTAAACAGTTTCTTGGTCAAATAAATCTTCTTTTTAAACAATAACACTTCATTTTTCAGGGTATAGTTTTCATTGTTAGTCTTGTTCTTGATACTTTCCATATTTTCTTACACTCTTCATCGCTCTCTTGATGAACTTTGATGTCCTTAAAATCCAAGGGTATTTCATTTAATGCATTACAAAAATAGACTTCATTGTTTATCTTGCTTAGCGGATTTATTTCCTCATTTTCTGTCTCACTATCTTTCTCTCCACTAAACATACGTGATAACGCATCGGCTATGACATTCTCCAAACCCTTAACGTGTTCTACAGTGAATGGGTGAATGAATTAATTCTAAATAACCTTTCAATCCATCTAGACAGTCTTCCACGGCTTTTTCGAGTTTTGGCAATGAAACTAAGTCCTTCACAATCGGTAACCAATTTAAAACTTCTTACTTCCAAAAATTGGTGCCATTTCTCTACACACAAGATTACACTATAAGCTTCTTTTGCATATGTGGTATAACGCATTTCAGTAGGTGTGAATTTCTTAAAATAGTAAGCAATAGGCATTAAATTCCCCTCCTCATTTATTTGCAACTAGCTGTAACCCGCGGGCTTTGCCCCGTTTAACTTCTTAATTTTCAAGATTATCTCGTTCGCATGGCTCAATCACGTCCTGGTTGAAGTTTGTTCGCTACGCTCACTCACCTTTAGGTTGGAGCTCGTTCGCTACGCTCACTCACCTTTAGGTTGGAGCTCGTTCGCTGCGCTCACTTGCCTTCAGGTTAGCTCGTTCGCTACTAACTCGCCTCCAGGTTTAAGTTCGTTCGCTACGCTCACTCACCTTTTGGTTGCAAATTAGCTGTTGTCATAAATGTAAAAGAAATAATAGTGCTGCACCCTGTTGGTAATCCTTGTAACTTTAATGCTATTGAACATCATAGAACAGAACCAACTTGTTTAATTGAAACAGCTGTTAAGATTCAATAATTCTATTTCTCATAAGGTTAACATGGGAAACTCCAGAGCCACTGGGGCGGAGCCCGAAAGGATTTTTGAAATAAGAATATGCCTATATGTTAATCGGTAATGTGAGCTATCATCATGCCAAATTTCAGCCCAATCCGACCAGTATTTTTCGCGTTCACTTGTCACAAACATACATCCAAACTTTCTCATTTATAATATTAGTAGGATAAAACTCCCGCAGCTGCTAGGTCGCTTGCGTCAGTATGCAATTCAAATTCTTAAGAAAAATCGGCCATTTGTATTATAGGCGGATTTGCTATCTTACTCTTTAAGGTTTCAAAGGCATTCTGGCACTCATCGTTCCATTTAAATTTTACACCTTTCTTTTTCAGCGCAAACAGAGGTAGTGGGTAAACATTATATCGAGACCAATAACCACACATTCCTATAAACTTTCGCACTTGCCTCACAGTTTTAGGAGCAGGAAACTTCATTAATGAACTAAAACTTAAATTAATAAAATCTAGTGAGGAATTAATAGTTCATGGTTTGTTTGGGGGTATTACAATTACAACTAAAGAGACTCCACATAATCTTTACCAAGTAGAGTTACGTGACACAATGGGTAAATTCGGAAAAAAGGACTATGATTCTGGTAAAATATCCGAGTTTCGACACTGTAGGGTGGTATTTGGAGTTTCTTCTAGCCCATTTTTTTGAGTGCTACTTTAGCTCATCACCTGGAGAATTCTCCTGAAACTATGATGGACACGGTAAATAAATTGAAAGAGTCTTTCTATGTTGATAACTGTGTAACTAGTGTAGAGAGTGAATATGAACTTCATCGATTTGTAGAAGAATCTCAGCTTCTTTTGTCAAAAGCCAAGTTTGAGCTTCATAGTTGGGCAAGTAATGTTTCGCTGCTAGAAGAAATATACAAGTCTGAAGAAAATAATATGTAGGAATATGTAGAACTCTGTTCCTGTCTTAGGATTAATGTGAGATATATTTTGATCAAACTTTGTAAATGTAGTTATTTAATACTAAGTAATTAATATTTTACAAAAAAACACACTTGTTTACCCTCCATGTAGCAGCAAGCGTAGGTACTCATAAAACCTGATGTTAATTCAATACATTTAACTGACAATCAATTCAGACAAATGGAAATTCGCTTAGTCGATAGGTTTACTGCGGTGGGGGTATTTACTATAGTACCTGACAGTGTGTTACGTTATATGGTGGAGGGGGTTATAGCACGGCCCCTTTTAACAACTCCAGGCCGCTGCGTTCGAGGAGGCAACACTGCCAGTAGTGCTGTCACAGCTGTTTTGTTTGGAAGCTTTTTTAGGGAGGGGAGGGAAAATGCTTTTACACACACAGGAGGTACTGTTACGTAGTGCGAGTTTTCTGAATTTACCAGACTACTCACTAATAAAATCACTCTCTACTCTGTTGGACACAGCCATGGAATGGTTTGCCGCATTACTTTAAGTCAAGCTAACAAGTCAACAACTCCAGGCCGCTGCGTTCGAGGAGGCAACACTGCCAGTAGGTAACAAGACTAAGGTAACAAGACAAGGTAACAAGTAGGTAACAAGACAGTAGGTAACAAGGTAGACTAACAAGTCAAGCTAACATGTGACCTAAGGCATCAGGGCTCGCACCGTTTTTGGCATTTAGATTTGTTATGACCTACACCGCATACCGGTCAAGCCTCTTGGCGTGGAGAATATCCGGACCTGGACAAAGTGTGACACGCGGGTCCAATTGTCCTTACCCTCCATCATGGTAGGTATTACGATTCTACTAGGCCGGGGCCTGGAGTTAAAGGTGGCCGTGGTTATATCCTTACGTAATGCAGCGTCACAAGGTGGGAGGGATTTTTTTTAAGTGACTAAAAACGCAGTGCGTGTGGCCCCTTGTACTTTTTAAAGTTAATTTATTTATTTATTTCGACGGCAATCGCCATTTTACAAAATAGTACATGAGATACATGCAACAATTGATTTCAAAATACAAAAGAAAACATGGTATGAAAGCGAAAGAAATTGTGGTCGTGGTGGTGAACAATGTGGGTGAAATTACAACAGTTACAATATAACAATAACAATATTTTTAAAAATAATAACAACGTGTAAATAATAACAATTAGTAAGTATCAAAATGACATCGTTGTGAATAAATTAATAACAATAACAACAAACAATGTAACAAAACAATAACAACAAAACCAGCAGTGTAAATAATTAACAACAATAACAATCAGTGTAAATAGTATCCAAAAAGACAACATTGTAAATAATTAACAGCAATAAATTTACTATATACATACGGTAACAATAATAAACTATGGCAAAAGGTAACAACATAATAAACTGTGACAAGAAGCTAACGTAACATAAAAAAGGAAACAAAAGTATAGCTCTGAAAAAAAAACTTTTAGTAGAATGCCAACAACAATGAAGAAGATTCAGCACTTCACACTGTTAAGCGTGTGGTCCTTTAAAGGCACCACCAAGGAACTACGAGACCACAAATCCCACCATGGGGCACGAACCAGTACTTCCCGGCGTCTGCGTGTGGCCCTTTAAAGGCACCACCAAGTGAGCGAACAAACAAAACACTGATAGAGAGAGGAGAGGTGTCAGAAGAGCAGCCGCTGGATTCACGTCTAAAAGATGCTGGCGATGGCCCAAAGAAGTCTAAGTGAGGGCAGACGTCTTCACTAAGTCTCAGCAGTCTGGTTATTCCGTGGTTAAGGGTGTAATTTGTGGGCTGATATCTCCTTTTGAAGGTAGCTCTGGATCGGGTTCCTCTTGGAGCGTTAAAGTCTACTTCATTCAGAAGTTCGGGGCAGTCATTTGCCTGCTTGAACAGGAAGACAATGTCATTGACTTGTCGTCTCAGGGGAAGCGGTTGTGAAGGCTGAACTGCACCTCGAGAGCTGCTACAGGAACGTCAAGGAAAGGAAACCCGAGTTTTAGACCCAGTAGTTTGAGAAATCGTGTTTGGATCCTGTTTAAGAATTCAATGTGGCCAGTTTGATATGGATTCCAGATGACAGAGCAGTACTCCAAGATTGGTCGGGCTAGGGATTTGTACAGCGTGACAAGTGCCATGGGAGATTTGAGAGGTCTTGTAGAGCGATGAATAAACCCCAGCAGAGAAGAGACTCTTGAGAAAATATGGATCAGGTGATCATGTGGGCTGAGTGAAGGGACAGTGATTACACCAAGATCCCTAAATTTCTCGACCACGCTCACGCTGAGACTTCTGCCGTCGATGCAATAGTCATACTCATGAACTAAGTTACTGCGACTGAGAAGCATTAACTACACATTTGGAGATATTGAGCTCCATTGCATTTGATATGCACCATTTGCTGATGTTGTTAATCGAGTGTTGGAGCATTTCTTGGTCATGTGTGGAGGTTACTTTGTTGAACACCTTAATGTCGTCAGCAAATAAGAGAAATTTCGTTTTAATTTCTGGGCAGATGTCGTTTATGAATCAATTAAACAACAGTGGTCCTAGATGAGAACCTTGGGGCACTCCAGAGGTGGCAAAGAAAAGACGGGATTGCTCTCCATCACATCTAACAACAAGGGTGCGGTCAGTGAGGTAACTTTTCAGCCAGGAAAGTAATGGACCGCAGATGCCATAGCCCTCAAGTTTAGCAATCAATAAGCGATGCTGTATTCTGTCGAAGGCTTTGCTAAAATCCAGATAGACACAATCTACTTGGGAATGTTCGGTAAATGCTGACATAATGAGATATTGTGGAAAACGAGGAGGTTTGTGCAAGAGGAGCTACCCTGGATGAAGCCATGTTGTTCTGGAGCAATAAATCTGCCAAGTTGAAAGTTCAAACAGTCAAGAATAAGGCTTTCATAAATTTTGGACAGGGCAGACTGAATGGCAATTGGTCTATAGTTTTTTATGTTGTTTTTTGCAACCTGGTTTAAAGATAGGAACAACAAAGCTATGCTTCAGCACCGTCGGAAAAGTTCCCTCTGAGAGAGGTTTTGCAAAGTAAATTTGGAGGTGGGGTGTGAGGACAGGGGCGCAGTACTTCAGTACAGCAGGCGGGATGTCGTCTGGGCTGGCTCCTTTGTTCGGGTCCAATGCTTCCAACTTTCTCTGCACATCCAAAGCTTGAAACTTACAGCTGCTTACTGATAGATTCAGACCAAAGTCAAAAGTAGGCAGTGGAACGTCAGTCACTCTGTAAACTGAAGAAAAGTATCTAGAGAAAAGGTTGCATTTGCTTTCGGGGTCAGTGGCTTCTTCTGAGTCAAAAAACATAGAGGATGGGAGCGAAGATGAGCTTTTTAGTGAATTTCCCTTATAGAGAATAAGCTATTACCGTAGTACTCATGGTAAGACCTGGACGCGGGACCGATTTTTTTCGTTTTGAGGTCTCTAGAGGCCAAAAACACCATCCGTTCAAATTCATATATCTATATATATAATTCCGTAAGTCAAACTTTTGTAAAGAAATTGTGAGTGACTGGATGGCCATAGAAGGATGGGAGGGGTCTTATTTTAAAGGTCTTGACGTGAATTTTGAGGGAAAACTATTCATTTTTCTTATTTTTTTACCATAAATTCGCAACAGAATAAAACTTTTCCCATTAAAACAACATGGGGTTTAATTTGTTTACATCTTTTGAAATTAAAACAGCTGTGCCACAGATTTGAAAACAGTGATCAATACACGCATTTGGTTTACTTTTAGCCAGTCAACTATGAAATGTATACTATAATAAAACTGAAATATTAGTCGGAAAAACGTCTGCATTCTTTGTTTATATTTAAATCATATACTCAAGTTTCATTTTTTCATGCTTTTACGTTATTGTCGTGTTAAAGGAATAAACGACATAGAATAAATATTCTGTATAAATAATCAAAGAGTCGAAATTAAATCTAACTTCTGTTTTGTTTTTATTTTTAAATCATATGTTCAAGTTTATTTTAAATGATGTTGTTTTCTTTATATTTCTACACATTTTAAGGTTAAGGTTGTGTAAATATATACAACTAAAATAACCTATAAATGTTATTGGTTCTAAAATGGTGTATTTGCATTCCTTCGTAAGTAAATTTTTTTAGTGCAGTGAATATACAACGTAGAGTAATCATATTCGATCATACTTTTATAAAATCACCAGGGATTCAAGATGTTTTGGTATGTAGGCTGCTGGATATATATTCTTTTCATTATAAGTACTGTAATTAATACGAACGCCAGGGGAATACCACAAAGGCGGGGAACTGTTCATAGGAATGACAGTGCGCGTAGGAGAGCAAGAGTAGATAATGACGAACTTAATCAAGATATGTTATAACCCCTTTTTAGGAGACCCATGGTAGATGAGAGAAATGTAAAGATCCATGATGCAGGATTATTGGACCAAGAGTGCATTCAATGTAGTGCTCTTCATTTTAGAAAAGAACTAACGAATAATCATTTTATGACATGTTGCCATGACGGACTTATTAACCTTCCTCAGTCAAAAACTAATGTAGAACTTAAAAGTTTGTTTGAAGAGAGCCCACAACTGTATAAATTCATTCGACAATGCAACAGTGCGATGGCTTTTGCTTATTTTTCAGCCAGTAAGAAAGATATTCCAGGAAATGGACCATACTGTTTCAAAATTCAAGGACAGATTTATCGTTCAATCTCAGATTTGCTGCCTCAACATGATGAAGACCCCGTGTATGGCCAATTGTACATTATTGACACATCAAACAGCAACAGAAATTCGTCAAAGGCGTCGAGAAAATAGTGACTTAAAACCTGAAATATTGTCAAAACTAGCTGAAATTCTACTAGAAAATCCATTTGCACAAATTTACAAAAGAGCTTCGGAAGAAATGGTTGTACAAGGTGACAGTGAATTAGAACTTAGGTTTGTAGACAGGATAAATATGGATTGTCGTAGGTATAATAAGCCTACTGCAGATGAAATTGCAGGCGTCTTCAATTCATCTGAAGGCGAACCTCCAATGAATTTTTAAAATTCCAAACAGGGAAGCTTTTATTTATCCTCATTAACCACAAGACCAAAGCTACCTTAGTAAACCAGTATTTATTCACAAACAATGATATGTTTGCTGCCTTTTCATGTTATACCACTGGAGTGATTCAAATTATTTATTGAAAATGACATCAACAAAAGCAAACAAAGAAGAACAACAAACTGGTTTTTACACAAAAGATATGGTGTAGGGATGCCTATTCTGACACATAGATAATGTTATTCTGAGTTGGTTTAAATACCGGTATTGCAAAAAGTTGTTTTACATTTGAGCTTTTTAGGGACTTATGTCCCTACAAGCCACTAGTATGTATATATATATGTGTGTGTGCGTGTGTCCGTTAGCACGATAACTCGAGCAAAAATAATCCGATTTTTATGAAATTTGGTATAAACGTGTAAAAATACATTTATTCGAACGAGTTCACGAACCAGCATGATCGGACTATGTGAACGGGGGTTTATGGGGTAAAAATGGGTTTCTCCCATTTTTGACCCAAAAAACATAAAATTTTGCAATTTCTTTCCAAACTATTTTGTGGAGCTTAAAAAAACAAATAATTTAGTATATTGAGGCGTTACTGTGCGCCTATAATGGTTTCGGAGAAAATTTAAAAAAAAATGTAAATTTAAAATTCCCATGTTAATCTTATGGAGAACAAGTAAACTGTTTTCATAATTTTGGAATTTACATTTCTGCGAATGGGGCGTAAGCCTGCCGGCTTTCCCTTATATTGGTAATCTAGCCTGTCATCCTAATCTTAGCACTACATAATAATAATTATGGACTTATCCTGATTTAACAAGGGCATGGTGAGATGAGAAACGGATGATCAGTGTATATCCAAATCCAAGGAAAGCCGGCGACAGACAAGACGGAGGAAATCTTCTCCGTTCCGTAGCTCCTTGACCGTTTCTTGGAAAAAGCAAGCGACAGACCGAAAGGGGCGCGCTGATCGGAAAGGCAGGTGATTTTGTTGTGTGGCACTATATAAAATAGTGGCGCTAAGCGTCACACAATATAAATTGAAAATCTATTTCCGTACATTTAAAATCGAGTCAATATTTAATAGCCTCGTAACCAAGCTTCCACATTCTTAAAAAATTCAGAAAATAACATTAGCTGCCTCCAAACAAAACAGCACTACTGACAGTAACAGTGTTGCTACTTCAAACGCCGTGGCTGGAGTTAAAGGTGGCTGTGGATATAACCAGAAACTAAAATATATTTTTTTTATGAAATCACAAACAGTATAGTGTCATGTTAAATATATAAGGTAGAGCGGCATACTTTTGCAAAAGATGTAAAAGGAAACTTTTTTTATATGAGAACCAGCTGGAGCTGGAACTGACAGTGTTGAATGAATATTATCATCTGTGAACTGTGATCTGTCTCGCATTTATTTGGTCTTGGTGTCATTGTTATAACCCTACATGAACTTAAACATCCATTGATCCATTTTCCATGCAGTTATTTAAGTTAGGGCCTAAGTCTATTGGTCATGTTGGAGTTGGATCAAAAAAATATATTTTTATGATCTTGATTCCAGACTAAGTTGAATTTTTAGAGAGTTATTTGGTTATTGTAATTCACTATGTACCCTAGTCATACTGGTGATATTGTGCATCTCAATGTTGGTGGAACAAGGTAAATAAATGTGACAACTTATTTTTTAGATATAACTATTATAGGCCTAAAGGCGAAGTCATTGGCCCATGTCAGTTAGGCCTATTCATGGTCTGTAGTGGAATCCGATCAATGTATTAAATTGGCTTAATGTTATTAAATATTAAAACCAATTACCGACTAGGCCTATCTAAAAGTGGCATATGCCTATCAAAGAGTTTACCTACTTTAGATTGACTAAATGAGGGCTGCACTTAAGTTAACGTCCTACATTTACTCACATAGGCTAGGCCTACTGCAGTTAGGTTGGTTAGGTTAAGTTTATAACATTTTTATTTTATAATCAGCTGGTAGTTAGTGTATCTATAAGTATAAAAGAGGATGTTTGTATACATATTTGGCAGTGATAAACTCAGACACGGCTGCACTTTACTTGACGTCCTACACTCATTCGAATGAAAATATCGATCGATATATCGATTAATCTATTGCTTCATTCGATATATCGTTTGGTTAGTTAGGTAAGGTCAACCTAACCTAACTAACCAAACGATATATCGAATGAAAATATCGAATCGAAAAAAACAATCGAATGAGTGTAGGACGTCAAGTAAAGTGCAGCCTCAGACACTGCTGAACCGATTGCCACGAAACTTGGTACATACGTGTAGAATTTCATGGAATAGTTTTATACACCATCAATTTCGTGATCCGTCCAATCGGCCCCGCACCAGTGGCTCTGGAGTTTCCCATGTTAACCTTATGAGAAATGGAATTAATGAATCTTAACAGCTGTTTCAATTAAACAAGTTGGTTCTGTTCTATGATGTTCAATAGCATTAAAGTTAATAGGGTTACCAACAGGGTGCAGCACTATTATTTCTTTTACATTTATGACAACAGCTAATTTGCAACCAAAAGGTGAGTGAGCATAGCGAACGAACTTCAACCTGGAGGCGAGTTAGCGTAGTGAACGAGCTAACCTGAAGGCAAGTGAGCGTAGCGAACGAGCTAACCTGAAGGCAAGTGAGCGTAGCGAACGAGCTAACCTGAAGGCAAGTGAGCGCAGCGAACGAGCTCCAACCTAAAGGTGAGTGAGCGTAGCGAACGAACTTCAACCAGGACGTGATTGAGCCATGCGAACGAGATCATCTGAAAATTAAGAAGTTAAACGGGGCAAAGCCCACGGGTTACAGCTAGTAATGTATAGGTAATAGTTTGTAGGACGTAAACTAAAGTGCAACTTAAATGAGAATAATACCCCCGGCGCAGCAAACCTGCCGACTAAGCGAATTTCCATTTGTCTGAATTGATTTTCAGTTAAATATATTTTAATAACATTAGGTTTAACGAGTACCTAGGTTTGCTGCTACAAGGAAACCAATAAAGTGTGTTTTTGAGTAAAATATTGATAGCTTAGTACAAAATAAATAAATTTGCCAAGTTTGATCAAAATATATCCATAAACAAGCAAACTACAACATTTGACAATATTCTCCATAAGAATAACATGGGAATTTGAAATTTACAATTTTTTAAAATTTTCTCCGTTACTAATAATTGAACAAAAATACTTTTATATACTAAATTATTTGTTTTTTTAAGCTCTTTAAAAAGGTCTAAAGAGAAATCGGGAAATTTTGTGTTTTGAGGGTCAAAAGTGAGAAAAACCAATTTTTACCCCATAAAACCCCCCGTAAAGCCCCTTACCCATGGTCCGATCGTGCTGGTTCGCGAACTCATTCAAGTTTATCCCGCTTTACACCTTTAAACCAAATTTCATCAAAATCGGACAAAAATTACTCAAGTTATCGCGTTCACGGACGTATATATATACATATATAAAAATTTGAATGAATGGTGTTTTTGGCCTCTGGGGACATCAAAATGAAAAAGTAAATCGGTCCCGGGTCTAGGTCTTACCGTGCCACCTACGGTAATAGCTACTTCCCTATAGGGAAATTCGCTAAAATCTGTCAAGGTACCAGGGATTTGCCACAATCTAAGGGAGCTTTGAAGATCTAAACTTAAGTAGGCCTACCTACATAAGTACCTACTCTAGGGTGTTGGGGTGCACCTGTAACTTAGACCCTCTGTTAGCCAATAACTCAGGAGTCTAAAGAACAAAAGGATTAAAAATCCGTCTCAGTTAGGTCTGGTGCGCTAAGTTACTAAAGAGGAGTTCCGTCTGTGGGAGAGCTTGGTATGAAAGGCTTTTTTCAAAATGAAAAGATTACACCTCAAATCGAAGTAAGTTCTAGGCCTACGTTAAAATATGGATTCCATTCCATGTGAGTTGCCTTAACCTAGGTAACTTACTGTGTGTTTGTCCCCCATAAGCTTTTAAACCAACCAGATGTTATCCCTTCTATGATAGAAAAAACTTTACAAAAACCGGTATATATATAGTTAAATCATTCCCCTCTTAAAGGGGTTGGATTTGGAGGGCTAATAAGTTAAGTTTACTGTTGGGACATTGAACCAGTAACTTAACTTCTATATTAGTATCGATAGTCATATGGGCCTTTAAACATCAATGTTAAAAAAACCAAAGACAAAATATTGATAAATATTGGAGAAAAACATTGATATTTAGTAAAACATTGACAAAATGCTAAATACTGCAGTGAATAATTAAATAGGCCTACCTATATCGTATAGGCCTAGGCCTATCTCTTTATTTCATTAACATTGTTAGTTACAGGAGAATATAAATAGGTACCGGTAGGCCTATGTTACCTATATCATCAAAAAAGTTATTGTTGTGAACCTAGCAATAAGTAGTGTGCACACCTTATAAAATCTATTGCTGGCCGTTTTGCGGAAAAATACGGCCGCGTACCATATTACCGATAGGCCTAATGTCAGCAGATAGAGGACACTTTAACAGACACGACAGTATCAATATTATGTACCGGTACCTGAGGGGTAAGTTAGGGGTGGTAAAGTCAGCAATAAGTAGTGCGCGCGCCCGAAAAAATCTATTTAAAAATCATTTGATTTTCATATTTCCCTTGGGCTACGCCTCATGGGCTTGTTTTTATTAACTCGCTTTCTTGCAAATTTGGATACTCCCGATGAGCTAGAGACTTGAAACTTGAAACATAAGTTAGGTAGCTCACAAATGGATGACAATGCAATATTATATCATTTTATTTTCATATTTCCCTTGGGCTACGCCCCGTGGGCTTGTTTTTATTAGCTCGCTAGTCGATTTCCTACAAATTTTGATATCAATCTTAAACGAAGTTCCCGATGAGCTAGAGACTTGAAATTTGAAACATAGCTCACAAATGGATGACAATGCAATATTATAACATTTAATTTTCATATTTCCCACGGGATACGCCCCATGGGCTTCCACATTTTCCATGTTTATATTTTGAAAGAATGTAAACATATCAATTAATTTAAGTCAGCTGTAAATACTTAAATTTGACAGTTCGAAGAGCAGAGATTAAGAGGTACAGGTTCTGCTCCAGATATATTCTAAAAATATAAAACAAGCATTTTAAAGTAAAGATAAAACATATGATTAGAGATAATAAGGTTTTGGTTTATTGTATTAATAGGTAGTCAAAGGTTAGGCCTATATATAAGGCCATATAAAATATATTTAACATATTTACACATTAAAGACTAAAAAGTTGAAAATAATTGATAAATAAAAAACTTTTTTAAAACAAAATGTTTTTAAACGCACTAAAAAGTAGAAAATAATTTATAAATATGTTGAGAGTATAAATAGGCTACTTGTAAGATTTAAAACAAAAAACGTTGGGTGCATGCAATTAATTGATAATAATACATTAGTTCAATAGGTGGAAGGTAATTGTAAATTATCTATTGCATGCAACCCACGTTTTTCGTTTTAAATCTTACAAGTATTTATACTCTCAATATATTTATAAGTAAATTATTTTCTACTTTTTTAGTGCGTTTAAAAAAGTTAATTTTTTTAGTTTTTTATTTAGGCCTATAAATTAGCCTATTTGATTTCTATGATAGATAGATGAATTTATTTTATTGAAAGTGAAGAAAAATAATTTGCAAAGTAGCCTACCTAATAATTATTATTTATAAATACATGACAATTTAACCTAGTTGTGGCCTAGGCGTGTAAACAACTTTAGAAAATAATTAAAATTCAATCTGTAGAATGGCAGGATTTAATCATATTTTTGTTCTAGATCTTTAGTTGGTATCAATAGTATCAAAATAAAAAAAAACTAATTTCATAAACTTGTGATACAAAACATTTAAATCTATAGTACAATAAATCTTTCAAAATTATATTAAGCTAGACCAAAAAACAGGGGATACATTTTAGCGAATTTCCCTATAGGGAAGTAGCTATTACCGTAGGTGGCACGGTAAGACCTAGACCCGGGACCAATTTACTTTTTCATTTTGATGTCCCTAGAGGCCAAAAACACCATTCGTTCAATTTTTTATATATATATATATATATTAGCGATTTTCCCTATAGGGAAGTAGCTATTACCGTAGGTGGCACGGTAAGACCTAGACCCGGGACCGATTTACTTTTTCATTTTGATGTCTCCAGAGGCCAAAAACACCATTCGTTCAAATTTTTATGATAACTTGAGTAATTTTTGTCCGATTTTGATGAAATTTGGTTTAAAGGTGTAAAGCGGGATAAACTTGAATGAGTTCACGAACCAGCATGATCGGACCATGGGAACGGGGCTTTACAGGGGGTTTTATGGGGTTAAAATTGGTTTTTCTCACTTTTGACCCTCAAAACACAAAATTTCCCAATTTCTTCTTTGACCTTTTTAAAGAGCTTAAAAAAACAAATAATTTAGTATATAAAAGTATCCTAGTTCGGTTATTGGTTACGGAGAAAATAAAAAAAACTGTAAATTAAAAATTTCCATGTTATTCTTATGGAGAATATTGTAAAATGTTGTAGTTTGCTTGTTTATGGATATATATTGATCAAACTTGGCAAATTTATTTATTTTATACTAAGCTATCAATATTTTACCAAACACACA